GATACGCGCCACCACATCGGTGTTGCTTTGGACTTGCATCGTACAATTAACGGCCGTAGGGGAGATGTGGGGACAGCGCGTCCTTAAAGGCTGGCCTTCCTGTTTCACTCACCAGGATTCATCCTTCTCCGTCATTGAAGACGCAGTCCCCTCCGTTCCTGCTCGTGTAATTCCTCCCAAAAGTAAGTTTCTCTGTTCTTAATATTTCTTTCTTTGTTTTCAAAAAATAAAAATCTAGTTTTGGAAAGTGGAAACTAGGGAAACCGGTTAATTTTCTCTAATTCTTAAATCTGGAGACGAAAGCAATAAAAAATGTAAGATTTTCGTGGGAATTTCGCTCGAGTGCATTTCATTCGATATACGCGGATTGGATTTATATAAATTTGATGCTCCCAAGTGATCATACATCGTATCGTATGTCTCAGTTTTATTCAATCTTTTCCGTCGTCTTCTCGAGGATCTTTTGTTTCTAGTTTTTCAATTAAAGTTTTAGGATTCGTTGGTATTCTTTTGCGTTTATATTCTTTTGGTTATGGAATTTGGATTCGAATTGACATGATTTTTTTTGACATTAGGAATATATAAAAACAATGGTTACTTAATTGTTTCATGTAATGGAGGTCTCAATCAAATGCGAGCAGCAGTGAGTGCTCTATCAAATCGCACTATATATATTCTTTGAAATTCTTTCTAGATTATAGAAGTTCACGAGTTGTTTGTTGTATAATCCATGTGGAAACTGATGCCGTGTTCTTCTATATTGGGGTTTGCTTGACAGATTTGTGATATGGTTACCATTGCAAGATATTTGAATGTCACTCTTATAGTTCCGGAGCTGGATAAAACGTCCTTCTGGGCTGATCTCAGGTTTGCTAACTAAGCTTTGCTCACATTCATAAATATGGAAAGTGGTCTAAAATATATTCCTGGTGAACATGGATTATTTTTTCTTACATATCTCTAAATATACTTTATATTGAAATGGTAGTGAATTTCAAGATATATTTGATGTGCGTCATTTTATTACATTATTGAGAGATGAGGTTCGTATATTGAAGGAGCCACCTCCTAGGCTTAAGAGGAGAGTCCAAATGGCGATGGTGTATTCCATGCCACCAATTAGCTGGTCTGATATATCCTACTACCGTAACCAGGTCATTCACTGTCATTACAAAGTCTTATATGCACCCAGATCATTTTAGACTTCAATTTAATGTAGCTTGTTTCTTTATTCCCTTTTCTAAGAATGTAATACACTTTCCCAGTTCTTTTCCTTCCTCCAAGAGTCCTCTTAAAGGAGTATGTTTGTTCTCTATTACATGCAGATTCTTCCTATGATACAGAAGTATAAAGTTGTACATTTGAATAGAACTGATACTAGAATTGCCAACAATGGACAGCCTTTAGATGTTCAGAAGCTGCCATGTCGTGTAAATTTTAGTGCTTTGAGATTTACCACTCAGATAGAGGACTTAGGCAAAAGAGTTATTAAGCTTCTGAGGCAAAACGACCCTTTTATAGTACTTCATCTTAGATATGAAATGGACATGTTGGCATTTTCGGGTTTTACCCAAGGTTGCAACAATGAGGAGGTGGAGGAGTTGACAAGAAGGTGAGGTTTACATGCATCTTTAACAATTAAATGACTAGCAGGCCTAAACTTTAGGTTTAATCCCAGTCTCCAAAACTTATTTTGGCAGATATGCTTATCCCTGGTGGAAAAAAAATAATAAATTCTGACTTGAAAAGGAAAGATGGTTTGTGCCCTTTGACGCCTGAGGAAACTGCCCTCATATTAAGGCTCTGGAAATTGATAATAGTTATCCCAGATTGGTAGGTTGAAGATCAGGGAATGAAATGTAATAATCTTTGAATTCTTTTATCCTGTATCAGTAATTGGCCTTTTGTTTGTTAAAACAGGTTAGAAAGGAGACCCTATTGGAGCCATCAGACCTTGGGTTTTTTCAAAATCATTCGTCCCAGATGGCGGCCTTAGATTATCTTGCGTCATTGGAGAGTGATATTTTTTTCCTACTTACGATGGAAACATGGCTAAAGTTGTTGAAGGCCATCGCAGTACTGTTGTACAGATAATTTTGCACTTAATATGTTCAGAAGATTTCTTGTATAATTAAAATAATCCGGTGGTTCTTTTTCTTTAGATGAGATGAATAGTTTAGAAAGTTGAACTCTACCCACGTTCTATCATCCCCATTTTTATCTCTACCATTAAGAGGACAATTGTTTGTCTAGTTCTGACCACTAAACAATTCGAATTTCAATGGTTGCAACATGGGCCAAGGAATGTTACAACTACTCTATTTCGTAAATGATGTTCATAATGTTTCTTGCCAAGCGATTTTCTAGCGGATTTTATCATTTTTCATTGTTAAAGCTATTTGGCATGAATATCAATTGTTTTTTTTAAAATGCTCATTCAGATTTCTGGGGTATAAGCAAACAATTTATTGGACAGAAGTCTTTTGGTTGATCTGATAGATCAGTACAATAGTGGATCCCTAAGTTGGAATGAGTTCTCAAATGCTGTGAAAGAATCTCATGCAAGTCGCATGGGCCAACCAACACGAAGATTGGTGATTCCCGACAGACCTAAAGAAGAGGATTACTTCTATGCAAACCCAGAAGAATGCTTGCAACCTTCACACAGTCAACTGAGTAGCACATGATCTTTTTGTCTGGAAACGTTATGATTATCAGTGCTTTTCTCTAGCCTGCTTGGGCATCATACTTAAAACCTAAAGGTAGTTTCACAAGTATGACTACAATGAAGGTTTTTCTTCCTAGGATTCAGTTCCGTAGATCATTGGAGACGGTAGAATCTGAAGAAAGCCTGAGAGGGTCTGAAGTAACCGGTGGACACAAATTTTAATAAATGCAAATAAGAATCATGTATGGAAGAGCTGCCTTGCGATTATAGGTTAATATCAGATCAAAACGTGTTGTACACGAGGGATGCAAGTATAAATTTGGGATTATCGAGGCTGATTGGAAGGTTAATCCCTTACCCTTTTGTCTTGCATTTTTTTTAGATTGCTTTACGATCTAGTTTGTATTCTAGAATTCATCATGTCACAACCTACAGAGACATATTTGTATTTGTTTCTAGCATGGCCTCATCAATGCAAGAATGGTTGAGAGCATTGAATAACAACTTCACTACACTTATCGTGTTAATTAAATGGCCGGCACTCGACATTTCGTGTTGAGTAACTTATGGTTTGGGAAAAGTATGGTCCCCTTTCATATGAATTTAGGCCATTTGTCAATTCTGGTTTGTCCATTACTGATGTTGTTGGACTTGGTCTTTGTTTATTAGGACAGTCAAAATCTCACATTAGAAAGTGACACCCTAACCAATCAAGCCAACTTAAACATGCCCCTTTGCATTATTGGGGAGTTTTGGCTCTTTCCATTTACTATGATACTTATGTAAACGTGTTGTGTGCAAGGATAGAAAAAGGTATGGATGATCTTTTGGAAATTTTAAATTCTCATATAGTTTAAAATTTCTATTTATAATCTAATTTCATGTCCCTGATTTTTGAATTTCGCACTCCCAATCTTTCTATAGCTTCTTTAGTTCGCACCCTGGACATAAATTTTTACATCTGTTACTAGTATAGTTTGTACCCGAGACATGAATTTTTACGTCCGTCCCTAGGTGTGTAGGTGTGTGACTTATTGGTTGAAAATGTAAACATAAACATTTGTAGGAGTGATTGCACACTGCAACTGCCTTGTTTCCCCTTTTATATTTTTTGGTGATACAGTGGATGTTTTGTTCCCCCATGTTTGTGTAGGGCTCAGCTGCCTCAATACTTCTGGTGTGGTCCCTTAGAACTTGTGTTTTAGTTTTGGGAGGAGATTATATAATAATGAGAGACCAATTTTGTTTCATAAGGTTTAGCTTTTTTAGTATTGCGTAATTAAACTAATAGAATTGGTTCAATGCATTAAAAATATGCTTTTCCCAAGCAAGAATTATAAAAGATCGTTTCCATGGGTGCTTGGGTTTAACTCGTTGAACAATTTATAAAATTGTATATAACGACAGCTCTACTATATATCTTGCTTTGGATTTATTCGAAATTTATAATTATATTGATAAATTCAACGATTGGATTGATAAATACTAATCGTAGAAAACTACTAAATGTGGAAATTTACTTCGTCTTATATGAAATAAGATCATACAAAGAAAGATTCAAAATGAAAAAAGTAATTAATATCATACAAAAGGAAGACTCAAAAGGAAACTAATTGTATAAACGAGGGTGATGAAGGATAAACTTATTAATTCTAACATGACAATAAAATACAACGATACAATGACAAATGATTTTATCACAACTCAATCATCATATGTAAGTTAATTGCGAACATCTATTAATATGAAAGAACCAACCCGAGAGCTAAATTAATACTGCTTTCATACCGCTTCAAGGTTTTCTGTTTCCTTGAATAAATTAGCAACTCGAGTCTGAAAGGCTTGCACTGCCATGGTCAAAAATCTGAAAGGACTTATACTGCAGGCGACCCATCTAGGATGAGAAGAACTGCAAATGAGCAGCTTCCGACCATGACGACCTTCGGTGAAGTTTGCTGTCATGAACGAGGAAGAATGGAATCTCTTCATTGTAAAGTTAAACGAGCTCCTTCGCCCATCTTTTGCCAACCGAAGGTCTCGAAAGACTGGACAGAGACAGAGGCTTGGGACATCATGTCAATTTTGAGTAGGTTAAATGTCCTGTTGGATGTAGATTTTAAGATCTGAACAATAAAAGATTCTGGTGCCGGGAATATATAGTTTTCTTGTGCAATATATTGTTAAGGAAGAAGAAATAAAACAAGCCATTCTACTTTGCTACTTCATATACATGCTTCCCAACTCAGTGTTCTTTGAAATAATCAGTGTCAATAAATTAGCTTCCAATACCGACTCACAATTGTTATACAGAGAAATAGCCAACAGCCCGATGAGAGCAGAATCGGCTTTTGTGGTAAGACGATAAACAATATATCCCATTTAGATATGCATGTAACATATGTCTAGGTTGTGATGAACTTATGATGATCTAGCCTGACCCTTCTCAACCATAATGGAGCGAACAACATTCTTTACGAAAACATAAAAACTCTCTCGGCAAGAATTTGGCATCAAAGTAGACTTATGTTGCAGTTTAATATCATCGCTATGGCTACATACCAGGCTTGGAAAAGAGCGGACACGGGATTTTGAGTGCTGGAAACCGCATGCTGCCAAGTTTGTATGGGTGGCAAGCCTAGCAATGTCTTTGAACGCATCAACTCCTGCAGACACAAAGCATAATACATTTTGCTAAACCAAAAAAATGGCCAAGGCATGATAACATGATTTTGTAAGGGCAAAGCAAAATAAAATATCTTTCAGGCAAAGTGTTAAAAACCTTTGGATAATACAGTTTGAAGTTAGTGATTATACCTAATTGTTTGTCTTTGAATTGCCCGTCCAGCTTAGTTGGTAAGAGCGCAAGGCTCTTAACCTTGTGGTCGTGGGATCGAGTCCCACGGTGGACAATTCATAATTCTGACTATCGGAGGTCTCCCAAGAAAGCTGCTCTCAACCTGACGTTGGGGGCAACCTACTATCCTACCTCCCCCTTACCCCATTACATATGGGAATAGGGTCAGCTAATTTTTTTGTTTGTCTTTGCTTAGGAGCTTTAAATTAAGTTTAACAAGGGCTTGTATCTCACTTTTGACATCATCATCCTTTTTATCCTTGCTTTAGAACAACTCCTGTCCAACCCAATTCTCCTCCGGTATATCTAATTTATTCACACCCGCCTCCAAGTTGGAATCCAATGGATTTGTAGTCCTCTTGACACTGAACCAACCAGGCTACTAGAACCAGATCTGCCCTCTGTGTTTATTGAAGATGATGATTCTAGATTTACTTTGTGTATTTTTAGCCCTGGATCATTTACATGATAGCAACCATTCTGAATTTGAACCTTTGCAGATGAAAAAGGTTGAAGAAATCGAGGTGAACGAGAAGAAAGAACATTATCACTCGGTCCAATATTCATAACTATCCTCTTTTGCTTTTCCACATCTATCTGGAGATTTGTGCTTTTCCCTTTCCCTCTCATGATAATGATACTCGTACTGCTTCTGTTTTCCTGTTCTTTCCTCATTCTGGTGCATTTTTGATGTATGAAGACCTGAACTGCTGATTGCCTCTTTCGACGTACTTCCGAGGCAAGGGAGTTTTGTTGAGTTCTGATTAGAACTACTAGTTGTCATACAAGTCATTTTCCATGCCTTATCAATATCATACAAATCTTCCTTGGGCAGAATAGAATTGCCTCGAGAAGTTGGTTGTTGACTTGTTGAATTGATGATTGTGATTCAATTGATCGTGATGAACACTTCAGCAATTATCTTTCCCACGCTTCCATCCCAGGTTCAGCCACACCATAAGAGAAACTTAATGATTGATCTATTTGCAGTGAACGCCAGTTTCATGAAGAACTTGTATCCGCTATGTACATTGCGACAAAGGCGCAATGTTCTTGCAACTGATTCAGTTGAATTACCCACAGTATTCCTACTAGGACGACTTGCTTCATCTACCCCACTGCTTTCCCTTCCAGGAATTATACCAGAGGCGAATAATTAGAACATGACGATGCAATATGTCCATTGAGCCCTGGGATATTTAATTCTCGAACCATATAAAAATCGAAACATCTGTCTCAGATGCAATTTTACATTACAGTTAGCAGAGAACATTTGATCATCGGTTTCAGTATCATCTTCGTTTGTCATGTTCGGACCTAGAAAGAGCAATTGACAAAAGTCACATCAGGTACGGTCGTCCCCAAGCCAACAATACATATGGGCGGTAGAATCACAGAGATCGCAAAG